TTTTTCTTTCAAACTTTCCGCACAAGTCACAAACGTCTAAAAACGCCATCCGCCAAAAAATTCGATCTCCGCAGAGACTATAAGCGATACACTTACTTGCTTACTTACTTACGTGCTTACTTACTTACGGAATACAATCTGAATTTGTTCTGAAATTTGTGGCCTGTCATGTGGCCTCCCATACCATATCATTCAATCATTCAATCAGTCGATCAGTCACAGCAGTTTCCCCATTTTCCCGATGCGATGATGGCCCGAGCCGAGCCGAAGATTCCCGAAGAGACGGGGAGTTTAGCGGGAAAGCGATTTCCCGAAATGGGTTTGCCGGTTTTCGGGAATTTTCGGGAAGTTTCCATGCTGTTTCCATTCGGTGGTCGTCGTGGTCACCTATTGGTGCGCCACATGTGGACTGCTGAGTAGTGATGACGCTGTGTGGCCGCATATCGCCTCGCCTCTTCGATATCGCTGGGATCTGAAAAATTAGTGAGAGAAATCAGGATAAAATATGTGATCATTTTAAAGCTATCACACACACACAAGCAGATCATCTGATCAGATCAGATCAGGGTAGATCACAATAGAGAGGGTAGAGATAGCGTTTCATGCAAAACTAAAGCACTAAAACCGTGCTAAGCACTAGACAAACACACACGGGATACTGTAGCACCCAAACAAGCATGCCTATCTCTATCTCTATCCAAACGATCCAATTGTCCAATCAGAATCGCCCAGCTACCGTAATCCTAAGCTATAGTAGCCAATCAACGTTAAGCAATAGCAGCCATCTAATCTATCAAGCCAGCAAGCCAATGCCACTCTTTTCAGGCTGGCAAAACTAACCAATTTCTTGGGAAACACTTGTTGCGTGGGTAGGGTAGGGCAAGGCAGATAAACTGCCCAAGGACCGGGCAAATGAATTGCCCAAGTTGACGTGAATGAATCACACTAAGGAACACCAGTACAATACACCAAGTAATTACAGCGCCACACAATTACAGCCGTACGTAGAGTACGTAGAATTTTTGGGAATTTAGGTTCCCAGAAGCAGTTGAGCCGGTTTCCCCGACGGGTAACTGACGCACTTTCCAGAAGAGTGTGAAATACGATGTGACAGTAGTAGCAGTAGTAGTAGTAATAGGTAGAATGCAAGAATGCTGTGTTTGCTTATCAAAGCGCCCCTTCTCGTCTAGTTTCTAGAAAGAGATTTGGGAAAAAGCTACCCGAAAAGGTAAAAAATGAAAAAAATGGGAAAAAAACAAACCCTTCGAGATTATTACGATGCCATAAACACTGTCAAATTATAAGATATCAGTAAGAATNTGATAAGAGTGATAAAAATGATAAGAGTGATAAAAATGATAAGAGTGATAAAAATGATAAGAGTGATAAAACTGATAGCAGAATGACCTACTTTTCTTACAGTATCTATAGTAGATGAGCGTTACAATGACAATAATTAAGGCCACCAAACCGAGTATATACGTGATCACCTCACCCGTTTGCATCTTCCTGCAAATTGATTCGATCAAATCAAAAAAACAAAACTTTTAGAATGAATTTTAACTTCTTCTCGAAAATTTGGGGAATTTTTTCTTCTTTTTGGAAAATTTTCAGTGAAATCTGGAGAATGGATTGGAAAAAAGTGGGCAAACATAAATTAAACAAGACGTGTTGCCGTGTTCTTATCGTGTTCTCGTGTCATTTTACTTCTCAAATGTCAAAATATTTTTGGCATTTTCATTTCAAAGTATTTTTTTTTCACTTTCACATCGAAATCGAAGTAAACTTTAAACATCTCTCAAAGATAAATCGCTGTTTCAGAAATGTGTTTCAGAAAACAACTTACATATGTACCAAACAAAATAACACCTTCGAATAAAAAGCTTTAGAAGTTTGAGATTTTCAAAAGCTTCTAGAAAATGGAAAATGAATAATGGAAAATGGAAAATTCTCCTTTATTTTGATAATATCAGTAAGAAAATTTTCAATAAACGGCAAAATTCCACCAGCACCACTGCCATAAACTCTTTCAGAGAACAAAACAAATCAACAACAACAGATGAATGTAATTAGAGACTAGGAAATGAAAATTAAT